CATGATAGAATTTTTGAATACAATTAATACCTCCTCATAAGCTGAGTTAGTACATCAATCATGCTTTTAAGAAACGTTAACCAAGTAGCAGGACTCTACAATGAAACTTGGCTTCGAATGATAAAAGTTGGGAAAATTGCTATTGAAGCTAGCTACAACTCTAAATGGATCAAATGCCAAAGCAAAAAGTGTTAATCTATGGTGTTAATTTATATAATGGACATGAATCCTTCAGAAAATATATGATCATTTCATATGCAAAGAAGACAACTTTCTATTACTTTCTTTTTTGTTATTACTATTAACAAAAGTCAAATTCAGTCATTGCATCATGTTAAAATATATTTATTTAGACTAATATTTACACACGACCAATTATATGTTGTATTATCTAAAGTAAGAAGGATTGATTGAAGATACTTGTCCTGGATGAAAGTAACAACCCAAAGTCAACAAATATGAATGTAGTTTACAGAGAGATCTTTCACATTAGTGGTAAAAGATGGGACTGCATGGCACTTATATTCCTTTGACTTGTAGTTATTGTAATGGGTAATTACGTATGGATGAAGACATTAATACATTTTTGTTATTGATGATTGATATTGTTAAGGAAGAATGACAAAAAGGTTCCAAAATAATTAATTAATTTAATTTAGATCCCAATTGTTAAAGTTTAAGAATTTATAACTCAATTTCTCAATTTTGCAACTACAAAAAATAAATTGCAAATTCATCACGATGTAGTTGCAAAATTGAGAGAGTGAATTGTAAATTTCTGGAATTTGGCACTTGGGATCCAACTTAAATTAATTAGTTATTTGAAGACCTCTTTATCATTCTCCATATTGTTAATGGTAGCTGCTATTAATTGTGATGAACTTATTATTTAAGCAGCCAAGCAATATTTTGCAGGTAATCAAACTTCTTTAATGCTACTAGGGACGTGAATGCTATTTTTTTGAAATACATAGGAAAAAAAACATAATTATTGTTTTCTATAGTTTTATTGTATTTTATTATTGGTCTCTATAGTTTCTATGTTTCAAGTCCATCTAATTTTTTTTTTGTATGCAAAATAATCCTTCTATTTTTAAATATTTCTAGAAAGACAGCAATTTGACACTATGTAAGGGTGTTCAACTTGTATCATTCTTGATTGGCCTATTCCATCCTGGTCATATGGAGACGAGTTTAGTCTTAGGCTCCAAAAATAATTGAGACGAGACTCTATGGAAGGGACGAGAAAAAGATTCAAGATGGGACATGATATGAGATTGCCCTTGGGATGTCCCATCCCGTCCGGAATATTATACATATATATAATTTTATATAATTTTTATATTATATATAATTTTTTATTTTAAAATATACATTAACTATATTAATTATATTAATATAATTTATACTTATTTTAATTATATCAATTATAATTTCAATACATACAATTTTTATTTAAAACTAAAAGTTTTTTATATTAATAATTTTAATAACACAAATAAACATTACAAGATAATATCTTTCTTTATAATATATTAATTATATTAATATAATTTATTTTTATATCTATCTATTTAATAACTTTTATTTATATCTTCTTACTTTAGTTTCGAAAGAGTAATTAGCTTCATATATCTCAACTAAAAAAGAAAAGCAATGACTTGATATTGTACTTGACTTATTTGTTATTGTTGCTTTTACAGCTTAGAAATCACTTGTAATTGCTATCATAATATGTTATACACTTGTAGTTGTGATTGATGTAATGCATAATTAACTTTAAATTATTATTATTTATGTACTTATATTTTTTTAATTTTAAACTTAATAAATTATGTGATTTAAAATTTTAATGAATATTATTATCCAAACATTTCTTTCACATTATTCGATTTATTGGGATGGTAGAACATCATTGTCCCCTCTCGATTCTAATGGGACGAGATAACTTTTGAGACGGGACAGACACGAAATAAAAATTTAGTCTCAACCTTTTTTTTTTAGATAGGACATGGGACAAGAATGTCTCTATCCCATCCCATCTCCTAAACACCTTGATGTCATTATGTGTGTTAAAATTTTTTGTGTAACTAATAGTAGTAATGGAGATGCTATCATGTTTAAAGCCACAATGCTTTTTGATAAAGACTCTGCTAATATTAGTATTTAGTGGTTTCAAAAGTGATTTTTAGTTACTACGGATCAAGTATTTTTACCTTTATTTTAACATTCAATATAGAGTCAGTAATTTAGATCAAACTCGATGGGTCAACCTGAAGCTGCCCCAAAAAATTTAGGGTCAAGCTCAAAAATAATTATTTTTTAATGTTTGGGCCTATTTAGGCTTCCCAAATAGGCTTGAGAAAATTTGGGCCAAGCTCGATCGGATTTGGGCTTGGCCCGAATACTTGAAGAAAAAATAATTTTTAAAAAATTATGTAAAATACAATAAATATAAATTAATTCTTTAAATTTTATTTCATTTTATACTAAAATACTATATATTTAATTGCATTACTATAGTTGTTTTTTAAAAAATTAAAATATTTATATTCTCATATTTTTATTATTTTAATCAATAAAATATCTCAAAATAATATTTAAAATATATTTTAATATTTAATTTTATACTTTTAAAACCCTTTTTTTTAAAGAAGAGTTTTGAGTTCTATACATCATTTATGTATCCAAAAAATATATATTTTATATTTTCTGTAAAATAATATGATTACTTTTAAAGTAAGAATAAAATTAAAAATAAAATTTGGGTATGTACAAATTCCTGGTTCTATTACAAAAGAAACATAATAAATAAAATATTCTTAAATAATTATTTAGTTATTATTTATGCCAGATTTGGTTAAAAATTAAAATAAAATAGAGTAAAAACCCTTTGTATGTGGGGGTTAAATAATATAAAAACTTAAAGAAAAAAATTTCAATAAAAATAGTATTTCAGTCATGATTTTTTTTATATAATATAGTGATGTCTATTTTTTTATAGTTTTAAAAACAAAAAGTATATTTTACCTAAAAGTTATTAAAAATTTTGAACTAATTAGAATAATAATTTTAAGTTAATAGTCTAAATGTAATTAAATTGAGATCAAATTAATTATAATTAAAAAATATAATTTAATTAAAATATATAAAATATTTATATATGACTATGATAAGATTAATATTTAAACAAATAAGACATTAATTTATAAATAAAGGAAACATTCATGAATAAATTACACATAATATAATAAAATAGCAATAGAGCTATTTAAGTACAAAATTGATAATTTATTATTTTTTATTTTATTCTTTTAAAGTCAAAATAATATTTTATGCTTAACAAAATTATTTAAAAATTAAAATTTGTTTGAAAATAAAATTTTTTTAAAAGTTTCGTGTATTTGGGCTGGCCTGAATAAGTCCGAAGCCTAAAGGTGTTAGGAACAGATTTAGCTACATAGGTTTTTTAGAATGGATTTGATACTTTAAGCTTGATTTGGATAAACTGACCCGCCCAAATTCTCAACTCTAATTCAATATAAGATTTTTTTTTTGGACAAAATATTCAATATAAGATTTAGTGTGTGTTTGGATAACATCCCAACTTAGGTTGGGATGTCCCAAACTTAGGTTAGAATATTAAAAATCTAAAAAGTTTTGCTTGGATAAAAAAATTACAACTAGCATTGGGGTTTGAATGGGTGTTTTTTACAAAGCCAATTGCCTCAACTTTTACAACATTACGTTGAGTGTACGGTGCACGTTGGACTTCTCTCCATTTTTTTCACTACCTAATCGTCTCCTTACTCTACTTCACCTCCTAATAGTCCTTTGTTCTAATATCTCTACCTCCTTCTCCTTTGCCCTGCCAAATTTGACTAAAGATTATCACCATTGTCGTTCGATCTTGACCATGTGTGTTGCTCAGTTGATTCTTGCTTGCTGTTGTCCTTCTTCTTCCATTCTTCTCCTACAAGATCTATGCTTCCTTGCCTTAATGTGTTCTTGAACTTGAGGTTCTAATCTCAATACGTCCACCTTCTGCAAAGAAGCAACCTGGGCCATTGCTAAGTTGCAGAGATCACCTATATTGGCTTCAAGTTAGGAGAAAGGGAAGGGGAGAGAAAACAAATAGAGAGAATCCGCGTGAAAACAGAGTGTGCATGTGTGTGTAGAATAAAAGCTAGTGAGAGAGAGAGAGGTTGAAACTGAAAGGAGTGAGCAAGAGTTTCTTTGATCATATATATATATTTTTTGCTTTTCTATTGATTATTCATGCTTCTACAGCATGCACAAGTGGACATGACATGGCAATAACTTAATAAATCATTTTTAGAATTATTTATTATAATAATTATAATTATATAATATCTTGTTAGGATATTAGTGTGGTTATATATATTTTGGCAATTTATAATAAAAAAGACATTGAATATAATTAGTTATAATTTTATTGAAAAATTAATTTATATTTTAGATTAATTAACAAATCACTTTATGTTGCCTAAAACTAACATATATATATATATATATATATATTATGTTGGCAATTTGAAAATTCAGACTTTTGATTTATCAATAAATTTTATATTTGTAATTTAATTCTTTAAAAAATAATTTTAAATATTTTTTTAAAATATTAAATTAGTCATAAAAATATATATAAAAATTTATATTTATTTTTGTCATTAAAAATCTCAATTGAATTTTCGATCAAATCATTTAAATAAATTCAATTTATTTAACTTACTTTTAAAAAAATATTTAAATATAAATCACGTTATATTAAATTTTTTTTAACCTTAATTTATTAATCTTAATTAAATTTTAATTTTAATTATAAATTTTTCAATTTAAATACACTCTCATTAAGTTGAGTGCTTGCCAAAAAACTTGAGATCTTCAGTGCCCCATGCTGTCTCTTTGAAAATATATAAAAGTAGAAATAGTTAAAAAAAAAAAGAAAAATAAAAACCTATAAGGACATAGAGCACGGGGGGAATAACATTGACTCCAGAGTCCAGATCATGGCACGCCATCGTCCTCGGCCTCGCTTCTAAAATTTCTAAAATTTCTGAACCCTAACCTTCCCATCCTCGCCGTCATCCTCTCGTCCTCCATTGCTGCTAGTGAAGTGATTAATTTGATCCGCTAGTGAAGTGGTTAATTTCCTCCTCCTAACCGATAATGCATGTCCAGCTAATTTAGGTTCAACGCTTTAATTTATGAGTTCAGATCCTCTCCAACGCCTTCTGCCAGCCTCGCTCCTTATGTGACCTCGCTCGTTGGTGCAATAGTTTTGCTGGGTTTCGTATCTACATAATGGTCGAACATTACAATAAGTACGGTTTTCTCTCCTGATCAATGATTTAAAACTTGTTTTCCGATTTTTTTTTTTTGCTTTAAATCTGTTTATGGTTTTCAATGAATCTTCCTAGGCTGGTTAAACTAGCAGCAAGGGCCTTCTACGATGATCTGACGAGCAAAGGAGATAATCAGCCTAAAACGGGTAGGAGTGATAACAGAGGCATTGCTGTGGTGGTGCTCGATGCACTCACAAGGTTCGGCCTTTGTTATTGTTTCTGTGTTTATCTGCTTTAAAAGTTGTGCGTTCTGTTTCCTTTGTGAAAATAGTACTATAGAAAGCAACATATGATTTTTTAACGATAAAAAGCAAACAAAAGAGAATAACTGGATGTGAAAATTGAACCTAAATCAACTTAAATGAAATGATAAGAACAGATCGGAGAAGTGGCAGTGTTTGCGTGAGGGCAATGCTGGTTTATTTTCTAGGATCATTGTATACTGGACAGTCTTTTTAGTTTGCTAAATCTCAACTAAAGGTCCTAGTCTTTGTTGGGTGTGGAATCTTTGGTGCACTGTGGATTGGCAGTGAATTACAGAAGACAATATTGGTTGAACTTTGATTTATGTAGTTGAAGAAGAGAAGGTATGTTTTTGGTCCTTGGTTAAGTGTGTTGATCTTTTTCTCTAGACGACAATGGGTTAGAGAAGAAGACTTGGCAAAAGACCTTAAATTGCACACAAAACAACTTCGTCGTACTCTGCGGTTTTTTGAAGAAGAGAAGTTCATTACCCGGGATCATAGGAGAGAGGTACCATCTTGCTTGGTGGATTCATAAGATTCTGAGTCTTTGCATACTGTTGCAATTTTATTTTCCAACACCGTTATCAATTTTAAATTCCAATACATGATTAAGTGTCGTAGTTGCTTCTTCTTCTTCTTCTTTTTTTGCATTTAACCATGTTGTTTATTCATCTGAGTGTCTTAAAATGATTATATTTTTCTCTTGTAATTAGTAATCTGCACTGATCATGTTCCTGTATTGTGGAGTCAGTGTCATTAGCTTTTTTTAAAGTACGCATATTGTTTCAATGCTTAACTTTTCAGCTGAAGACTAATGAGTGATGAGTCTAATTTGTGATTTTATTATTAATCAATCTTTAGAAAGGCTATAAGAATACTACAGAAGGTGATAAATAAGGGGAAAAGCTTTAGACCAATAGTTTGCTATTCTCTTTTTAGAATTAATTTCATATTCATCTTGAGCATTCCCTACATCAAAATCTGAAGGGATAGACTAGGCAGGACTAATTTCGATAACAAGTCTCTATCTTGACCTTGAAAGCTTTATGATGTTATAAACTAGGGGTAAAATGAGGTTTTACTTTCCTCTATTTATTGTGTGTTGGGGTTGGGGTCTGCAAAAAGTTACATTGTTGGAGAATGTAATTATCTGGAATTTTTCGCATGCCAAAATGTTTCATAATTTAGACTTCTACTTCATCGGATGTGGAAATAGATATTGATATCTTAGATTCTTATCATCATTCTATAGCATTCTATTTTTGTTTTAATCAATTTTCAGGTGGCTGAAATTTCTACCAAGTCTCTTTCCATGACATTATGTCTATTATGTGTTGTTGCTTATCTGTTCATTTGATCTCCTTGTTTCTGTCCCGACATGATTCTCCCAGTCGCACCACACTGATGCATCTATTCCTTTGGAATTCATTTTGTTCACTATAAAGTTATTTTCTTATTTGATTTGCTCTTCTGCTGCATATAGTTGGCCATCTTAGTCATTGGTCTGCTTATTGGACATTTTGATCTTGAAGAATAACTAGGTTTGATAAGCTTTTAAGTTTTATGTCAGAGGCTTCTATTATAGTAGTTTCTCTTTGTTATCTGCGGGAATTCTTTTTTTTTTTTTAAATTCCAGCTTTGCAAAATATGTTAAATAAGCAGTGTATAATTTTTAACTTCCTGAGTCACTTCTAATGGTGCAGGAAGATTCCTATTATTTGTCATCTTCAGTTTTGTGAAAGTATCATCAGTGATTTTATGGAGTCATGCACTCATTTACTTATGTATGTCATATCTTGTTTGGTATTCTTTCAGACTGCAAAAGGTGCAAAAATGTATAGTGCTGCTGTAGCTGCTACAACTGATGGTTCACTGGCACCCAAAGAGGGAGAAGAAAAGGTCAAGCTGCATACGCACTCTTACTGTTGTCTGGATTATGCACAGGTATGTCACTCTTTCTTTGAATGTATCTTTATAAGTTATATTTCGGGGATTTTACTGCTGATGGAAGGGGAAATCAAAATTATTTTTCCTTTTTCTTTGACAATATTTTAAAATTACTTGCCTGTCGAATCCTCCCTTCTATATTTGTTGGCATTGTTATGCTGAAATCTGTTGCAGATATATGATGTGGTTAGGTACAGATTGCATCGCATGAAGAAGAAGTTGAAAGATGAATTGGAGAACAAGAACACAATTCAGGAATATCTATGCCCCAACTGTGGCAAAAGGTTTTGGATGTTCATTGAAATCACATTATCATAATTCTGATCATATTTCGTTAATATAAAGTATTTTTGTCATGATATAAAGATTTGAATTATTTTAGATATAATGCCTTGGATGCTCTACGCTTGATATCTTTTGAAGATGAAGACTTCCATTGTGAAAGTTGTAATGGAAAGCTTGAGGTAGAAAGTGACAAGTTAGCTGCTCAAGAAGGGGGAGATGCAGATGACAATGCAAGAAGACGCCGCCGTGAGAAGTTGAAGGACATGCTTCAAAATATGGAGGTTCTGTTATAGTTTTATTGTGGTGCTTATTTGTATACTTTTCATCGTATGATGTAGCTGATAGAGCTTAGTGGTGCAGAATGGGAAGAAGAAATAGAGGAAAATCAGTAAATCTTACATTTGAGGGATCAATTCAGTATTTCAATAATCAAGGCGAACAACTACAACTGACTAAATGGTTAGACACATTTAATGGAAAGATATGTGATATTCTAACCCTAGATCTAACATGTGGTTACCATTTTTTTTTTTGGCCAAACATGCAGTTACAAAACTAAGCATAAGGGTTTGTTTGAATGCCTTGCTAAAATTATAAGTCATGTCAAATCAGAAGCTTTTATTTTTTGTGAATTCACATAAGTATTAGGTACGTTTTATGACATGTGAATTTTATATTTCGTAGAATCTATATATTACACAGTACTTGCCTAGATTTATTGGTGTTCCTCACCTTGATTTACTTGTAATGGTTTTTGACTATGCCACTCCTGGTGCACTGTGTTACCTGGCTTCTCCCTAGACACCCATTCATCATGAAACTGCATGTCAATGTTGGCTGATATAACATATATGAAACGGAGTGCAGGTACAGCTCAAGCCTTTGATGGACCAACTTAGCCGTGTAAAAGACTTGCCTGTTCCAGAATTTGGCAGTCTTCTAGCATGGGAGGCTCGAGCTAGATCTTCTGGTCTTGCAGCCAATGGAGACAGCAGTATTGGCGATTCTAAAATTTCTCACGGTCTTGGATATGGTGGGACGCCAATGCCTTACAGTGGAGATACTAAGGTAACATTTTCATGTTTGAGTTTGAGCAAAATATCTTTTCATTTCACTTGGTGATCTCATAGGTATTGTAGTTTTTAATCTTTTCTCTGTTTTAAAATGATAAGGTGCATTGCTGTTATGGTTGCCCTGGTTTAAATTCTAGCTTGTGTATACAACAACAACAACAACAACAAGCCTTTATCCCACTAGGTGGGGTCGGCTACATGGATTGCAAGACGCCATTGTGCTCTATCATTTATTAAGCTTTTAGAAATATTATTAATTAAGAGATCACGTTCATTTTGATAAATGAATCTCTCTTTTACATGAGAGTCTCAGTTCTTAAGTAGTGTTAATGATAGGGACTCAGAAGAGTAGGGATTAGAAAAAGTAATCTATTAAGTTAGCTAGAGCAAGGATCTCACTCTAAATAACTTAACAGCCAAGTAGGAGAATCTCCAAAGGAATAATGGAATTATTTCTTCATTCATATCCTGCTGTGTATGGGAGCTAGGATATTTAAAATAAGAGAATACAACTGAATAATTCAAATAATGCAAGATACTAGCTTAAAAATCAGGGACGACTCGCAGGAACCTCCCTAACAGCCTTGAGGTCCTATTGTTTAGCAACTAACAGAATAACAATTCAAATAACAAATAAAATAACAGCAACAATTAATTTAAATCAGATAAATCCCCTAAAACATGCATGACAGCATCAGTTTCAACTGTCTTCCTCTTCTTTCTACGATGATAAGTTATTAGTGGTCTCCTAAGCTGATTTGGATCCTTATCAGTTAATATGAGCAGTCTTTAAATTTATTGGAAGCATGGATGATCAATCATTTGGTAGTTAGGCTATTGCTTGCTTTTTATTATTCCAAATGGGCATGCAAAGCTTTAATAAACTTTAAGATAGTTGTTATGGTTGCCCTAGTTTAAATTCTAGCATATATATGATTTTGATTTTGATACAGGAATCTCTCAGTTTTTAAATATGCGACTAGGTAGAGTGTTAATATGGGTATTTTTGAAATTTATTGGGAGCATGGATGATCATTTGGTAGTTAGGCTACAGCTTGCCTTTTACTATCTCAAATGAGAATGTGAAAATTTAAGATAATGGTCGAAGAATGGTGAATGTAGTTGCTTACATTTGCCTAGAACATACACATTATGATATCCTCTCTCCTCTTCTATTTATAATAATTTTAAGATAGAGTTTAATCACCCTAGATGGAGAAGAACATTATCCATGAGGATTTTAGCTGTTACAAATAAAACCCACAAAAGGAAAACATACCAAGGGTGGTAAACCTAAATATTGCAACCACTTTCAAATGAAAGATGCCTACGTGCAGCATTGACTCACAAGGTTGTACTCTTGGTCTTGCACTTCGTGATTCAAGGAACTCAGTAGCAACTAGTACTTTCACTGACAATGTCCTTGGTAGAAAAATAGCGAGTTCCATATTCTATGACTTGCTTCTCATGAGTCGGCCTTAACATGCTCCCAATTTCTCTTCTTGACCATGTTGTCTAGTCATTTGAGGTCCAATGTCTTGTATATACTTTTCCTGAGCAGTTCCCTGGGTTTTCTTCACTGCTTGGGTTGCTCACTAGGCACCCAATGCCCACATAGCTTGAAGGCTGAAGGCTTTAGTTCACTGCTAATTTTTTTTAAAATAAAATTGTCAAACGACAATCACAGGAAAGTGTTTGTTTATGTTGTCTTTGGATTAACGGGAATTTAGATTTGGATTTGGATTTGAACTTAATTTTCCATTTAGTCACATAAAAGTCTCTGAATTTGGATTTGATCTAAATTTAGATTCATGTTTTATTATAACTTTTTTGTAATTTCAAATTTCTCCCTATACTTCAATCCTCTTGTTCTTTTCATGTTTTCACTAATGGTGCCTTTGTCACTCGTCTCTTCTCTCATCTCTCATTTTCATTTCTCAAATTAAAGTGTCTAAACTTGTCGCTTCCAATATTTCATTTTTGTTTTGAATTTTAGCTCATCTTTCTTTTTCATTTGAATTTTTTTATAATATACAAAAACAACAAGCCTTATCTTGCTAGGTGGAGTCAGCTATATGAATTATGTGACACCATTGTGCTCTATCATTTATCAAACTTTTAGAAATGTTAATTAAGAGGTCTAAAAAGTTATTTCACAGGTGCTTCTCGTGGTCTTCTTTATACATATTCAAACTATTTCAAATGATTTTCTACCATTTTTTCTTGAATAGGTGCGACACTTGCTTCTTCCCGTATGTGCTCATTTTGGATTTTGTCTATACGTATATGTTTGCACATCCATTTCAACATTCTCATATTTATTACTCTAACTTTATGCTCTTGCTGTGCCATTAAAGCCCAACATTCACTATCATATAATATTGTTGGTCTTATAATAGTTTGATAAAATTTTGCTTTAAGCTCATTAAGCGCCTTACGATGGCAAATAACTTCTTTAGCCTTTCTCCTATTAAACTATCCAGTTTGTATCTTATGTGCAATATCTCCGTTAATTTCCCTATTATGTTGAATAATAGCTCCCAATATTCAAATTTTTCTACTTGAGGTATACTTTGATGACCTAACTTCACTTCCAAATTACTACTCACTAACTTCTTATCAAAATTATAGTGTAAATATTCCGTTTTACTCGTACTCAGACAGAAACTTTTTAACTCTAATGTCCTCTTCCATAACTCAAATTTATAATTAATCTTCTGTTGTCTCCGCAATAAGAACTGTATTGTCTATAAAAGCATGTATTTGGGGATTTCCTTTTGAATATGCTTAGTCAAAATATCTAAGACTGGGTCAAACAAATAAGAACTCAAATGATTCTTGGTGCAGTTTAATCTCTATAGGAAAGTCTTTTGTTTCGTTGTAGATGTTCTTATACTAGTTGTTGTCCCTTTATTCATATCTTGTATGGCTTGAATATAGGTAACCTGACCACCTTTTTTTCCAATGCTTTCCAAAGTATTTCTCTCAGTATATGATCATAAGTTTTTTCCAAATTAATGAAAACCATATGTAAATCTTTATCTTTATATTGGCACTTTTTCATTAATCTCCCTAGTAGATTAATCGCTTTTGTAGTCGCCTTATCTTGCATGAAGTCAAATTGATTATCAAATATATCAATTTTCAATCTCAACCTATGCTCAATCATTCTTTCCCACAATTTCATTGTATGACTCATTTCAATTACTCTTTTCCCTTGGTAGAAATTTTTATACCATAAAAAAAAAGAAATTGATAAAAAAAGGAATTTTAGAGACATGGATTTTCAATGTGAGATTTTAAATCTCAATTCCAATTCCAAATCCTTCAATTCAAATGCTACCTAAGTCCTAATTTTTTTTTTTTCGCATGGGTTGTCAAAGTATGTTCAATAGATCGACAAGGGGTGGACATACAGACTTGTTATGCATAACTTGTATTTTTATGTTGTCCTATGAAAAGTATATTCAAGACTAGTGGCTTTTTTTATTTGTAGTAATAGTTCCTGTATGGAATATTTTGGCAATTCAGTATGGTATGACTGGTTTTACAATATTTTTGTGTTGTGGCATAAAACTCATCTTTTTCTGACTACTGTATCATACTGTCATGGTTGGGCTTTCTTCCGTTGGTTTTGGACTTGAGCAGTTTAATTTCGACCTACATTTTGCAATCATTGAGATCTGATGTGCATTTAATTTGCTCAACATGGTGCTATTTTTGTGTAGTTTGGTTTCAACATTTGGTAAACATTATCAATAGTGAATAAATCTGAAGCACAACGCCTAGGTTTTTCTCGAGTTATTTGAAATGGTGATTCTGATAATTTCATTGCTAAGTGATCTATTGCTGGATGTAGGTTGTAGTTGACTTTAATGGAGCGGAAGGCAAAGGAGAGGATATTAAGTCTGTAACTGAAAGTACATCTCTAAAGGTTTTGCCACCGTGGATGATAAAGCAAGGGATGAGTCTTACAAAAGAACAGCGTGGAGAAGTGAAGCAGGAGATGAAGATGGATGGGGCTTCAACTTCCACTGCGACACAGTATTCAGATGACAAAAAGTCAACAGTTGAACAGGATGATAAAAAAAGCTTACAGGCTCGTTCAATCAAATTAATGTTATTTTTGTTGATGTTATAGTTGTTTGTCACTTGATGTTTCTACCTCTGCCCCCAAAATCTGTTAAGAATGATTATTCTTACAGTGATCTCTTTTTTGTCCTGTTATAGGATGAATACATTAAGGCTTATTATGCAGCATTACTCAAAAAACAACAAGAATTGGAAGAGGCTGCAAAAGCACAAGAACAGTCATCAAATGCATCTGCGCTTGAGGATCCTTTTAGTGGTTCTTCGCATCGTCAGGTTGGCATGAAATCAAAACGTGAGGACGATGATGGTACTGAATGGGAGGAGGCTCCAATTTCAGGTAACTATTAGTCTTTCTGATTTGATTAGGACAAAAATTTGAATCCTAACTTCAAATCTTGCATAACCTGTACACACACATCAACTGCTGATTTTTGCCTCCAAGAAAATGTTATCCCTCTGAAGAAACAACCCGACAAACATTAATTTAGAGGTCACTTGTAATATGTTGAGGAGTTTTGATTATTGTTATAATTAGGGTAAAACAGTACTGATATTTTATTCATAAGAAGTGTTTACGTATATAGAAGAGATGAGAGGAAGAGAATCTTCACAAATCACTAATATGTCTCCTATAATCTTGGCAAATCAAATCAGATGCTGATAAGAGATAAAATCAGATATTAATAACAGATAGCAGAGCTTATTTAAATAAGGAAAATTAGGTCTAATCTTGATATGGGCCTATGTGCCTTAGGCCCTTATCCAACACTCTCCTCAAGCTGGCGAATAGATGTTAATCATTCCTAGCTTGCTTCTGAGTCCTTCAAATTTGTTTTGGGTTGAGGATTTGATCATAATATCTGCAATCTGGTTCCCTGAAGGGATGCAAGATAGATCTATCACCTTAGCTTCAATTTTTTCTTTGATGAAGTGTTTATCAATTTCCACATGCTTCATGCGGTCATGTTGAACAGGGTTGTTAGCGATCTTTATGGTTGACATATTATCACACCATACTTTAATCGGACCATTCAGATCAATCTTCAATTCCTTCTAAGAGACGAATGATCCACATTCCTTCACATATTCCTAGTGATAAGGCTCGGTACTCTGATTCTGCTGAACTTCTTGACACTGCTGGTTGCTTCTTACTCCTCTAGCTCACTAAATTTCCCCACACATAAGAACAATACCCAGTAGTTGATCTTCTATCACTCTTTGAGCCTTCCCAATCTGCATCATTGAATAATTCAACATTTCTGATGGTATTCTTTGAAAAAAATAGTCCTTGTCCGGATTCTTCTTCAGGTATCTAAGAATCCTGTAAACTGTTATCATGTGTTCCTTTTGAGGAGCACTAGAGAATTGACTCAACACTAACTGGAAAGCATATGTCAGGTCGTGTGTGGGATAAATAAATTAGTTTTCCCCCTAACCTTTGGTATCTTTCTTTGTTTACTGGTATGCCATCTGGTTTAATTGTCAACTTCTGATTTAGTTCCATTGGAGTGTGTGTAGGCCTTGCCCCCAACATCCCCATTTCCTTTAATAAATCTAGAGTGTATTTCCGTTGTGATACACTAATCTCCTTTTGTGTTCTTGCCACTTCCATTCCCAGGAAGTATCTTAAGGGACCAAGATCTTTAATCTCAAATTCTGCTGCCAAGTTCCCCTTTAGTTTAGTGATTTCTTCCACATCGTTCCCTGTCAACACGATGTCATCCACATAAACAATAAGGACTGTTAATTTTTCTCCACAATGCTAGACAAACAACGTGTCATCTGCTTGGCATTGTTTGTATCCCCAAGACTTGATAGCTCGAGAGAATCGGTCAAACCAAGCTCTTGGAGACTGCTTTAATCCATATAGCGATTTATACAAACTGCAAACTTTATGAGAGTTTTCAGAATTTCTCAAACCAAGAGGAATCTCCATGTATACTTCCTCATCCAGATCACCATTTAAAAATACATTTTAAACATCCAATTGGTGAAGTGGCCAACCTAGATTAGCAGCAAGTGATAATAATACCTTAACTGAGTTGAGTTTGGCCATAGGGGAGAAGGTCTCTTGGTAGTCTATACCATAGGTCTGAGTGAAACCCCTTGCAACTAATCTAGCTTTATATTTGTTTATACTTCCATCAGGGTTATATTTCACAGTGAAAACCACTTCCTGCTAACAACAGATTTTCCCTTTGGCAAGTTGGTGATCTTCCAAGTTTGATTCTTGTAAAGTGCCCTTAGTTCTTCATCTATAGCCTGCTTCCATTTATGATCAGTTGTAGCTTCAAAACTATTAGGAATTTTCACATGTTCAACATTCGCCACAAATGTCTTCATATGAGGCGAAAGTTTCTTATAGGAAACATACCTTGCAATGGGATGTTGGGTAACTCCTCTTCCCTTTTCTAAGAGCAATAGGCCATTGTAGGTCTTCAAGACTCACCTCAGGTGTGGAGTCATGGCTTTGCATCGGAACAGAAATGGGTTCAGCTCTTTCTCTGTTATGGTCCTGTTCACTAGCATGATTAGGTTCCTCCACCCTAGTTTTGAGGTCATCAAGGAACAGGCTAAGAGGTTCAAAATGGTTAACATCCTGAAAATCTGATCTGTTTTTGGAATTTCCAGAATTTGTAGAATCTGAACTGATTCTTGGTGAAACATCAGTATATTGAGATAAGGTTGTAGAATCAAAGGAGTTAGTATGTTCAACGGTGTCATCTAGTGATATATGGGGAACATCCTGTTTCTGTCCAGATTTGGAACATTTATAATGATCATTACAAATCAGCCATTTATTCTCAGATTTATTCTCAGTAGTCTCCCCCTGAATGGGTGATTTGGAGTAATAGGGTTGTTTTTCAAGGAAGTGAACATTCATGGTCACATATACTTTATTGGTGACAGGAGAAAAACATTTATACCCTTTTTGACTGGAAGAATAACCCAAGAAAATGCATTTTATGGCTTTAGTATCCAATTTTCCTGCTCCCTCATTATAAACAAAAGCTGTGCACCCAAAAATCTTTTGAGGGATGTTGGTAGTAAGAGGAGAGTTAGGAAAACTTTTAGAAAACTTTTGAAAGGGTGTGGCAAAATTTAAAGTTTTGGAGGGTAAGTGATTTATAAGATAAGTGGATGTAAGAATAGCATCTCCCCAAAATTTGTTTGGAACATGAATTTCAAACATAATAGCTCTAGCTACTTCAAGTAACTGTCTGTTTTTTCTTTCAGACACACCATTTTGTTGGGGTGAGTAAACACAGGATGTTTGATGATGTATGCCTTTTTCTTTCAAAAAATTTTGAAAATTCAGATTCACATATTCCCTCCCATTGTCACTTCGAAGAATTTTTATGGAAGTCTGAAACTGATTTTGAACAAAGGCATAGAAGTTTTTAAAGATATTGAAAACTTCTGATTTTTCTTTCATCAGAAATACCCAAGTCAAGCGAGAATGATCATTAATAAATGTTACAAACCATGTTGTTTTAGAATTTGTTTCAAATTTGGATGGACCCAAAACATCACTGTGGATGAGAGCAAAAGGGTGACTTGGTGTATATTTGTGGGATGGATAAGAATTTTGAACTTGTTTAGCAAAGTGGCAAGTCTCACTATGAAACTCAGAAACTGACTCTTTATTGATATTTGGAAATAAAAATTGCAAATAATGTGGACTAGGGTGGCCTAACCTAGAGTGCTATAACATCAAGTCTTCATGAGACATAACAGAAAAAACACCATAACTTTTATTTGATGAAGATCCATGGATATAGTAGAGTCCATTTCTCTCCTTAGCATTGCCAATCATCCCCCCCCAAGGCCAAGTCCTGAAAATCACAGCCACTTTTGTCAAAAATAGCACGACAGTTTAATTGAGATGCCACACATTTTACAGACAATAAGCTGCACTTAATCTCAGGTACATATAACACATCCTTCAACACAATATTTTTAGAGATTATCACAGTGCCAGATCCGAATACTTTAGCGTACTGTCCGTTTGCAACTTCAACAGTCTCATGCTTAGAAAATTCACTAAATTTAGAAAACAGATTCCTAAAACATGTTACATGATCAGATGCCCCAGAATTGATGATCCAAATATTGTTGGATTTTTTCATACTATCAAAAGTTTGAGTTAAAGCTGTACCTGCTTGTGCCAGTCACAGAAGGAGTATTATTCTCACATATTTTTGCAGATGCAGAATGTTTCTTCGAAACTTTCCTTAAGACCAGCAGCTCTTCAGTGCTTAATCCCCCAATTTCAGCTTCTGTTGTGGTTACTGACAGTCCCTTGCCTTTCTGTTTGAAATTCTGAGGCTTGCCATGTAACTTCCAACAGGTTTCTCGAGTATGTCTGTTTTTATTGCAGTGATCACATCTTCCAGACTTCTTATCCTTCATATCTCCTTGATTTCCTTTGACAACAAGTGCAGAACCTTCGAATGAAGTAGAAGGCGTAGAATGTCCTTGGGTGAAAACCTTTCGACTTTCTTCGCATTTGAGCATGTTAAAGGCATCTTCTAGTGATGGAAGAAGCCTTATGCCCATTATACGTCCTCGAACATCCTCAAAGGAGTCATTGAATCCAGCACCTTTCTCAATCAACGATCTTTCTGTAGTACTCTCCATCTTGCTGGCAAGTCCATTCATGGACCTTGTAAATATCAATTTGTTGCGATAGCCTCATGAGAATATTGTAATATTGAGTGACAGATTGCTCTCCTTGCAAGAGATTTTGAAGCAATCGCTTCACTTGAAAAATGGCAGCTGTGTTCTCCTTGACTGAGTAGGTGTGCTTCACAGATTCCCATATTTCTTTGGCTGTAGTTGCCAATAGGTAATTTTCGCCAATCTCGACAGTCATAGAATTCACGAGCCAGGCGATGACCATATTGTTTTCTGCCCACCAAGACTTGAACTATGCATCTGTAATTGCTGGAGGATTCTCTGAGGTATTTCTCGCGATTCTTTCCTCTAACAAACATCAGAATATGTCGCGACCATTGGAGGTAGTTGTTGCCATTAAGACGATGAACAATCACAGCTTGCGAGAACAAATCGTTCCCTGAACTCAATGTCTCGAAAGGAGAGTTCATGCTGTGCGCATTCAAACCAGTACCTTGTGAGTCTTCGTTGGCCAATGATATTGTGCCATCACTTGTGGTGAAGACTCACAGCTGGTTTGTTAAAGCTGCCCTATATGCCATTGATCACAGACCAAGGCTTTGATACCATGTTATAATTAGGGTAGAACAGCACTGCTATTTTATTCATAAGAAGTGTTTACATATATAGAAGAGATGAGAGGAAGAGAATCTACACAAATCACTAATATCTCTCCTATAATCTTGGCAAATCAAATCAGATGCTAATAAGAGATAAAATCAGATATTAATAACAGATAGCAGATCTTATTTAAATAAGGAAAATTAGGTCTAATCTTGATATGGGCCTATGGCGCCTTAGGCCCTTATTCAACAATTATAAATAGTTATATGGCATTGGGTGGTGGAACTTTGCTTGTCCTTTCAATTACCTTTGATTAATCTTAATGGTAGAAATAACTCTACACAGTATACACTGGAAGTGCTATTATGTTTGGCATGGAAATTTGTTAGAGCATGATTAGGGTAGTGACAATGGCAGCTGCACCTTTTGGGTCATGTGGCACAATAGTAGTTGTTGCTTGTTATGAGTTGATGAACTGCATGCATTCATGGTTGATATTTAACTTAGCTAGCAGAACAATTGTAATGACAACTAAGGTAAACTGTGTTGATGGTAGTGGAGGATGGAGATGACAATGGTATCAGTGATAGAAATGGAATTGGTGTACACTGAAACAGAAATCTTTTGTTGAGGATTTAAATAGCTTAAGTGGAATGGGTGGGAGAGACTTCTCATGCATTATAGAAATTTATTTCCATATCAGAAAATGATTATCGGAATCATGTTTGGAACTATGGGCTAAATTATAAATCACTATTAGAAAATGGTTTGAGATGGTTTGGACATGTATGAAGAAGGTTGCTGGAGGCATCGGTGAGGAGAGTAGAACGGATAATTTTAAGCTTTATTAAAAGAGGTAGAGGAAGGCCAAAGAAAAGACTTATGCAATTTGTTGATTGAGATCTTTTAGTTAACGATACAGTATTTCTAAAAGCTTGGTAAATGATAGGGGCATAATAACGTTGTATAATTCATATAGCTGACTCCACCTATTATTGTTGTCTGATACCTGTGGGAAGATTCATCATCTAGGTGGATATATCATATTATGGATGTGCGTTTTTTATGCATTTTGTTTGCATTGTTTAGATTTGGATTAGACGAATCTTTTCATAGTTAAATTGTAAGCCATCAAATTTATTAACTATTATTTATAACATTGTTGTGATTTTGCATTTTTCTTTTTTAAATTAAAAAATATACTTGCCTGAGAAGACTAACATTATTCAGAGTCTGTAAGTGGCGCGGTGCTCTACAGTTTTCATTATTATATTAATTTAATAAAAAAAATATTTCCTCCGGTCATATTTATAGAACTGAGAAGGAAGATTTTTTGTTTGTTCTATTTATAAGTTACATTTTTAAATTTTCATCACAAATTTTCCTCTTTATCTTCTATTGAATGTTGAAAAGAGAAAATAACTTGTTAAAATATGTATATTTAATGAGGGCAAAGTTGAGATTTCTTAAATTTTTAGACAAAGTTAATGAGTTTTAAGATTTTTCTTAGTTTTGGTGAAAAATGTTGGAAGTAAATTATAAATAGGATTTGGAGAGTAACAAGATATGGATTTTTCAAATTAAATTATAAAATAGTTTAGGTAAAAATGCGCATATGAGAGATTGGGCACTGGAACCAGATGAGTAAATCAAATTGAGATGCTGTCGCTAAGACCGAGCAACTTGCCTTGTTCATCACCTGTCAGTTCGGGTAGATCTTTTGCCCCTTGAATTGTGTGTCATTAGAAATTTGGAATTTACATGAAACAATATATTGATGGTCCCTTTCTGAAATTTTCTTGTAAACCTGTGTCCCCTCTCCCGTGTCGCTCTCTTTCCTATGTATTTTTTACTGGCTATCTTTTTTGAGTCTCTAATAGCATGTGCTTGGGGTTGGATTTTAAAGGCAATGCAAATGAGAATTACAAGGTCAATGACTTGAATGTTGAAGCTGAGGTGGCAGCGGATGACGAAGAGGATGACGATGTTGACTGGGAGGAAGGTTGATGAAAGTATTATGGTTAGCCTGAAATCACTTTTGGTCCTCCAATGATTTTGTAAAATCATGGCTTACTCTTCAAGATTTGATCAATGAAATGCTGATGCTTTCTTGGTGTGCATTGCCTTGAATTTGGTTCATCATTTTGTGTATCTGATGTATTAAAAAAATTTAGGGCGATTTGCATTTTTAACTTACAAAGCATCAAGGAAGTACTTATCCTCATAGCATTGCTATATTTTTAATATCTGGCAATGTCCTTGGGCAATACGTCGCGGCAAATTGTGACTGCCTGGGCAGCTGATGCTATTGTGCTGTGAGCATGTATATGGACTTTTTGTATAAGCCACGGCCACCGAAAGTAATTTTTTATAAAGTTCTTGAATAAAAACATGTCAATAATTTACTGGAGTTGATAATAAATACTCAAGTCAGATTGTACAAGACTTAAATGTGTAATGTACATAATTTCGAGAATCTGGTTTTCAACAAGAAGCTCAACTTTTTGTGATCGGGCAAGCTTTCTATTGGCTGTGGTTGGCTTGTTGGTGGGCGTTTAATTGCTGAGACTAAGTTGGTAGTCATCACATCTTAGTCTGTGTACTATGTTATAAACTCTAAAGGGCATTAAGAAAATCATACTAGAGCATTAGAGAATTAGTTTACCAAAAGATTCCTTAATTGAAATTTCCCTTAAATTAATAATCATTTGGATAACATCTTTAAAAAAATTGCAACAAATTTTAGGGAAATCATATGAGGGTTCTTCAAGTCTCTTAAAGTTCATGGGAAATATAATTCTAAGTAGGACTGTTAAATTCTAAATTGACTTGATGCACATGTTGTGCAGAATTCGTTTGTGATATATTTTGTTTGTCCATTTTACCCATGCCCATTTTAGATTCTGAGGTAATGGCTTGCTTACTCATTTTCTAAGCATTATAATGCATTGGACAACATCTCTTGGACACATTGGATCTTTCTTAAACTAAATATAGATGGTCACTTGGGCATTGGATCCAAAACATTCATTTTTGCACATACATACATACTGGAACATTCGACATTCTTATTTGCATTTAATTGCCAAAACATTTACTATAAAGGGTTATGTCTAGTGCTTCATAATATGATGAATCAATATTTGAATTTTTGTTGGGAGATTTTACATCTAATGCTCGATAGTGTCTTGAATATTGAATGCAAACATGAATGTTAAATGTTCCAAGTTATATGAGGATGCCTGTGAACAACTGAAAATAATTGGCAAAACAGTTACATATTTATTCAAGTTATATCGCCCATATTCAAACATAGAAGCATAGCATCTCACATAGTAGTGTCATACCCAATAATTTGCCAAAATAGTTTGCCGTAAAAACTAATATTCACCTTTTCAAAAATAATTGTTAAAAGTAACAATACAAGGTTCCACCATTTCTGAACTTTTTTCCTTTGCCTTGGAAGTGTTTGCCCCTATAATTAGTAGGAAAATTGGGGTGAGATTTTGAGAAATCCCAATAGTTTTGGATCCATCACATAAGCTCAAGCATGCGTACTTATATAAAACAAACAAATGGATCACATAATATCACGCTCATGGCCAGGGCATAAACATAGAAGTTATCAAATATTCAAAACAAGAACTCAAACTTGTTAATCAAGGCTTAAAATACATGCAATAACAACTCAAGTTTGCAATGGAATATAGAAATTACCTTTAGCCAAATTCAAGCTTTGCCATTGCTTCTTACTTACCTTGAGATAATGGATTCCCAAGAAAATATCAATTGCCAAGTATATAACGATACAATATCAAGGTTAATTCAAGCTACAAGAACCATTAAAATTAAACAAAACTCCTTGGAACCATTGCTTTGTCTTAACTTTGATTTTTTTTTTTTTAGGGTGAAAACTTTGACATCTGTATTTGACGTATAAAAATAATTTTTGTATGAGGCATGCAAACATGACCTTAGAATTTCAAGAATCCAACTCCTACCCTCACTTCTTGCACTTGACTGAGACTTTTAAGGGAGTTTAAAATTTTACAACTTGTTCCACTTGGTTTCTTATGGTTTCAACTTGATTCGAGGCTTGCGAAAACATCATACTTGAACTTAAAATAGTTAACATCCTTTAGGTGATTTATATTTAACTTGTAATCTTTACTTTAGTTTGGTTCTTTCATATTTTCACATGGTCTAGAGCTTGATTAAAATTCATATCCTTTTGGCTAATATCTTAATTAATCAAGCATGATTTTCTGTAAAATATTGGATTTGGAAATCTTTGGATGAGAGGAAGAACTCTTATGAATAACACTTTTGGATTTGGAGACGATTTGAGGGAGTTTTTGGCTGTTGAAGACCTGAAACTCACTTGGAACTTCACTCTCTCTCACTAGAACTCTAGAGCATCTTTCTCTTCTTTCTATTTGGGGGGCTACACGAACATGACTATAGGAGGGAGTGAAAGATTACACTATATTTGGAAGATTTTTTTTTTTTTATAGGGGAATGGAGGGGAGTGGAGTAAGATGGCTAAAAAACCTAAGCTATTGTTTGTGATTTTTTTTTAAAAGGGGTTGGAATGGCAAGGAAGGACCTCTAAAGCTCTCCTTTGCCATCCATAGCTTCATTTTTTTTATCCGTCCAAACTGGGGGGGTCAAGGATGGAGTGGCATAATATAATTATTTCATTTACAAAATTACCCCTAGCCTTATATCCTAATAAAAAAATCTTATATGTTATTTTCATTTTCTAGTCATCTCTTTTGCCTCCCGCTAAGGATGCACATGGGTAAGGTTGGGTTGGGCATCAACACAGCTTGGTGCCTAGCCTGATGTGTAGTCAAGCATCAAGCTAGCTTAATTGATTTGAAAATATTTGCAAGTATTTTTTAAAAAATATATGAAAAAGTTTATTCTTGAAATTATTATTATTATTATTATTATTATTATTATTATTATTATTATTTAAAGAATATTTTTCATCAAACTAATATTAGAATCAAAAGTAATTTTTAAAAATTTTAAATGAACAACATTTGCCAATTAGTTTTATATAATAATAAATTAAAAATAAATTTTAAATTTTAAAAGAGATTTAAAAAATTATAATGATAAAAAATATCTATATGATCATAAAAAGAATATAATTAGTGATAACTTTCAACCAAAAAAAAAATTCTATAAGATAAATATTATTCACCAAAAATTAAAATAAAAAAAACTTGCATATGTTTGAACAGGGCATGGTTTGACCCTTGCCGATGCCTAGCCTGATATGCACAAATGCTTTGAGTAGGGCTGATTGATGGGCATTCAAGCATAGTGCACAGTCCTATCTTCCGCAATATCTCTCTCGCTCCTACCATCTCTCTTCCCCCTCCCCTTTCCACATTATAATTTTGTAGTGTTTTCCTCTTCTACAAAAGTATGTTTGCTTGAGTAACTCTGCTACTTGCTCTTTCTTTTTATTCTTAATTTTTGAGTATCTTGTTTGACTGTTAATTTTAATTATTATTATTATTATTTTTTGTTGGACAAATATTGTAATTATTTAATGGGCATTATTATTTTCTTTAAATTTAGTCATATGGGTAATATTGAAAGAAAAAAGTTTTAATCCATTCTGTTCCATCCATTTTATGATAACTTCTAAACAATGGTTATGTAAAACCGTTCATTCCCATCATAAAATACCCAAACAATGGAAAATTTTGTTTTATTCCCCTTCGCTCTACTCCATTTGTTCCATTCTATTAATGACTATTCCTTATCATTGAATCTTAAACTCCTAAATGCACTCTTAGGTTACGTTTGGTAACTAGAAAGAAATGGAATGGAATGGATTAAAAAAATAGAGATAAAAATGAGGTGATTAAAAGAAATAGTAAACCACATTTATAAAGGATGGGGTAATTTAGTTTATAAAGTTAAAAATCATGAATCATGATTCATTAAATTTTTGAAGGGTATGATAATTTTTACATTTGTAGTATATATTAATGAGTCTTATAATGTTTACCATGAGGAGGAAGGATGATTTAGTTAATTTTTGTGTCAATTTTTTTAATCCATTCCTTTCTAGTAACCAAACGTGACCTTAGAGTGTCTTGCTTGATATCTACTCTAAGATCTAGTTTAACTTGCAATAATCTAACACCTAACCCTTACAACCTAGAAGCTTAAACAAATACTATAATAACAAAGAATTAAACCCCCACAAATAATTACTATGGTATAACAATATAAAACTAATTTTCTCAAATTTATTTAAAGGACACCCTTGTTAGAAAAAAGTTCGACTAAATTTCATAGGAATACCATGATTATAAAAAGTTTTACTTAAAAAAACATATGTTTGAAAACTAACTTTGGTAAAAAGATTAAGGGTTCAAGCACAAATCTATTCCTAAAGTTTTTTCAGAGGAGTAATAGGCATCTTAAAGTATTTAAAGCCACAATTTTACCCTAACATTTTTCAAAATGTTACATGTAACATCTTAATTTTTTAATCTTTTAATTAGTTACTAATCAGGTGTGAATTAGTATTAGTGGATGATTAGAGATTTGGATGATTGCTTGATGATTTGACTTATTGAGATGTTAAATGAACAGATATGGGTGGAATGATCGTGTCTTAGAACAAAGCATGTGCATTATGTAAGGATTTTTCTTGTTGTGCCAAGCGCGGCACATGGACCAAAAACTTGGCTAATAAGTTTGTATCACAGTCATTGAAAATAGAAGAAAGAAGCAAATAAATGTGAGAGAGAGAGAGAGAGAGTGGAGAAGAAAGGAGTGGCTGTTAGGGCAAGAATACTTGAGAGCTTGGAAGGAATTTCCAATCGATGGCTTATCGAGTAAGCTTTGTATAGTCCTTGTCTTTAATTCTACTCTAATTTCTCTTAGTATGAGTTATAAAAAAATTGAATTGAAAAAATTTAAGGGTTAGTTTCTTACCTTATAGTAATAAAAATATTCTCGGGAGTTAAATTAAAGCTTTATGACTAGTTTGGAGTTGAATAATAGAGCTTTGAAGTTGTAAGCTTAAACTTGGCTCTAAATCAAAGAAAAATAGGGTGGAAATAGAGTAAGAGTAAAATGGGATTATTAAAGATGAT